CCACGTAATTTCCACTCATTTCTACCAGCCTTTCCCTACCTCTAAGCTCTGATCACACAACATCTTCATACTCATCTTGTTCCTATGCTTTCTCCACCACCCCCTTTCTTACACCGGCTTCCCTCCCCCCTGCAATTTCTATCCAAATCACTCCATCACTTCTCCATGAAGCCTTTTCAGCCAGCCTACCCCACCACCATTCCCTAAAAGTCTATTGCACTCAGTTGACATCAGACACTCAAGTACCTGTTAACTCATTTTGAAGTTACTAGACTTAGGAGCTCTGGTGCCACAGTGCCTAAGGCATTTCATTGCTAACCAGAAGGTTGGAGGTTCAAACCCACCAGCCACTCCAAGAGAGAAAGACAGGCAATCTACTTCCATACTCAGAAACCTAATGGGGGTCTCTACAAGTTGGAATAGACTGTATGGCAGTAAGTTAGGTTTTTTTAGACCTATTTTAAGGAGCTCTGGTGGTATAGTTGTTAAGGCATTAACCTCTGGTAACCAAGAAGTCAACAGTATGAACCCACCAGCCACTCCATGGAAGAAGAGGCGGTCTGCTTCCCTAAAGATTTACAGCCTTGGGAACCCAATGGGGATCACTACAAGTTGGAATTGACTCATGGCAGTGTGTTTAGTTTTTGACGACTTATTTTATCAACAAAACTGTGTACTGCTTCAAGATGCTACATATATTTTGGGGGTGTCTGTAGTCCTTCTAGTGCCTTGCCCGTATTAATCACTCCATAAATATTTGCTCACTGACACAAGGAACATGATTAATGTTGTTTTCCTTTAAACAACCGCGTAAGTGAGATTTGACCATCATAAATTAATATAACCTGTTAACACAGCAAGTCATAAGTATATCAAATTCTGTACAACCTGCTTATGGCACTGATGTGTGGGTAAGCCCTGAAACAAAGCAAGGAAATGAAGACCACGTGAACGTCATGGTTTGCCTCTCTATCCACCAGAAACAAGTTTTCATTTTCACAAGCCTGAAAAACTCCACCTGGCCCCTGTCTGTCTGTTAATTCCACCAACTTCATCTTTGCTCCTCTTGGTCAGGTGCACAAAAGGCGGCAGTCATGAGAACCCAGCAGGGGGAGAAGGAGGAAAAGAATGGATTTTCCAAGTCCAATTTTCAGCCATGTTTCTCACATGACTTCCTATTCTACATCAGACAGAAAGGAAGTCCAATAAGAACAGAAAGGCAACATTATCTGGCACATCAAGGTATACTGAAGGCACTAAGACCTCTCAACACTCCCATTTATACTTTAACTATTAAATAAAGGTATGGTATCTGGGGCTATTCACTCTCATCCTGTCATTTAGAGACTAGTGGAATAAGTAATACTACATCCAAATGGTAACCGTGTCTCTCAACTGCATGACGAAAAGAACACCATGCTCAACTTTAGCCTCCTCACCTACCCTCTTATCTTCTATCATGAGACTCTTCACCATCACACACTTGAACTTCAGGGCACAATTACTCAAGACAAGTGTCCCTGCAGAATACGAAACTACTTCACTTTCACTGACTACAAAGTGCGAGACATCTCAAAAATACCGCCGAAGTTTGCATCATCTCAAATAAGAATCCCACAATAGTGAAGAACGATTGACATTAAAACGCATGTCACCATTAGACAAGCTTATGAGTTACACCCCACCATTAGTAAAAAGATAGTTGGACTGGAATGATTTCTATTAGCATGCTTCCTTATGGGCTACGAGCCTTTTGTTAAAAGGAGATTCTACAATCAGCTACTCAGGACAAAATGCTGGAGTCAGTAACTCCACAGTTTACCAGTGAGTGCTCTGAACTGCCATAAACTGTAAGCCTCACAGGGCAAGCCAAGATTTCTGGTTTCTTATCACAACATCCTATTGGAAGCAGCCTTCATGATATATGGTGACAACTGTTTTCATTTCTAAACACAAGGCATAAAAACACAATATATAATTAAGGTTACCCTTATCATCCATAATGACGCTGAACATTTACAAACATTCCTATGATGCAAACTGTGGCCCAAGTTTATTATTGACTTGCCTGCTTCCTAATAAGCATCTCACATGTCTTCGTGACAGATCAGTAAACTTCTCACACTGAGCATTGAGGAACACCAGAGGCTTGATTTTAATGGCCACTACATACATACGTTTTGACTATCCAGCAGGGACACAAATGTGGTGACAAGCAGTCCAGAAATCTCTCTCTGCCCAAAGAACCAGATAGGCTGTGATGACTTTTACATCCCATTGTGTGTTTGAAGACTGCAGAGTTTGCTTACAGCTTTCCTAGAAAAGCTGGGCCTCTTAAAATGTGAACCATTGACAAGGGATTCGACGATATTAGGAAACTTGCTAACGTACCTAGGTGTGATAATGACATGGTGAGGTCTGAAGCCTTTGGTTTTGAGTCTTTACCACTGAAAGTTACGTATAGAAATATCTACCAAAGGGAGGAAGGTGAAGTATGGGATTTAGATAAAACAAGCTCAGGCATGAGGGGGTAACTGTTGAACCTAAGTGTGGGGTACAGTGAGCATTGTTCTACTGTAAATTTTTCTATAACAGAAACTTTTAAGTAAACTTTTCTTAAAAGTTTGACCTTTCACCCACACAATGCTATGTATAGGATATTTACAAAGCAAAGAGCCAGGTACTCAGCTAAACACGTTAACCCGGGGTTTGAATCTAGAAAAGTAAAAGAAAACATGATCACAGCCAGCACAGCAGCAGTATTAATAGTACATTTTGAACTCTGTCTTCTCTAAAAATTAATAACCTGGAATAGGCAAGTTTTCTCTCAAAAGCCAATGGGAGATTATATATAATTGTGAGATATATACATAAAAATAAACACACACACAGAGATGGCCAATCACAAGGCCAAAGACCAACTTATTAAAAAGAAAACAATCAAAAACAACTAAGATCCATCTACCCCTTCTTGGCCTTCAAAAATGCTCATGGGGATCCACCCGCCCCTCTTGCCCACCCGGGACGGGACACACAGCAGCCGAGGGCAAACCATGTGGAAGGCAGAACCACTTGTGACCAGCTCTTCCAAGGACTGTCCTGAAGTGACCACAGTCAGCAATGGTGAACCCAATGCCAGGCAGCATTTGCCATTAGGACAGATATTATCGTTCCAGTTCCTATTTTCAACAGAGGGAGAACCTGAGAGAGAGAAAGATAGGTCACACTACCCAGCACCCTCCCACCTTGGCAAAGTAAGAGCTACAGTCAGAATTATCCTAACAAGTGGTGAGTCTCCACACTCAAAACAATTGTGCAAGATCCATTTTAGCCAACAAAGCACCAGTTCTAGAACCGAAGAGCAAGTGGTTTCATCACTAACATCAAAATTGATGGTCACCACCAATACCACTGCCTCCACCACCCTCCCTTCCTCTCCAACCACTGGTCACCATCCACCAACCAGCACCACCAGTAGCCCAAACAAAACAAGTTCAAACAGAAAAGAACACTGACAGGAAGCCTTCCTTCTTAAAAACACTTAAACCGGACACCCAAACACACACACACACACACACACACACACACACACAGAGAACCAGCAACTAAATCTGTACAGCTACTGTATATGAGACTTGAGCTGACACTAACAAAGCTTGCATTTCGGCACTGAACACAAAACCATAATAACAACCAAAACCAAAGGAAAAGGAAAAAGTTTCCTTCAGGAACCTCAAACCATCACATCAGGTGCATAAAAGGCTATAAAACAACTCACGTCTTGGTTTTGTCCTTAAGAAAGCTGGACCAACTCTGCAGAATCTCAAAGCCTTCTGTGTGTGTGTATGTGTGTGTGTGTGTGTGGTGGAGGTAGGGATAGGGAGGGAGAGGGAGGAAAGAAGGCAGTTAAATTTATAGAGGCCAGTGACCAATCCCAGCACCAAATCAGAGTGGTCCAAGGCAAACATAGTTTCCCCCTGACCCCTGGGCAGTCAGTCCTCCTCTAGCCCCTGCCTAACCCCCTCCCCCCCAGTTGGTGAGCCCACCAGAAAATGTGCATTTGGATATCAACACTGCAGGTGCTCAAGGAATAAAGAAAGACACACAACACATATACACACACAAAGCCAATCACTTCGAAAGAAAAAAAAAAAAGGAACACACAAAAAAGGAAGGAGAGAGGGACAATTGAGTGACAAGCCCTTCAGATACCAGCCAGCATTTTATTCTTCCCTCCCACCACTCCTGCCTATGTCCCTCTGTCTGTCCTTTAACTAAATCGCTCTTGTACACACACACATGTGCATACGTACGTGTAGCAAAAATATTATCATTAACCCTTTCTGCATAAGAACCCCATCCAGAATACAGAAAGATATTCCTCCCTTTCCTCTTCTCTCCCCTCCTCCCTCCTTTCTGCCAACCAGGAGAAAACGCCCCCTTCCCCAGCTTCACCAAAAAAAAAAAAAAAAAGGCAGGGGGAGGCGAGGGCGAAGCAACCACAAAACCCCATCGGGCTCTAGTCCCGAGGACACCCCGAAAGGTCCACACTAGCGGCGCACACAGACAGACACACACACGGACATACGGCTCTGTAGCAAGCACAGAGACCCGTCCACAGACGCCCCAAAGCCAGCCAAAGAGACTTGTAGCAGCCAAGAAGCCATGATTGGGGAGGGAGAGGAAAAGCGAGCCGTGGAGGGGGGCGCATTGTTGTGATGCCTGCACCCCTTTCTTTCTGCCCATCTGCTGTGGAGGGGGCGCAGAGAGGGGGCGCAGGGGAAAGGCGAGCGAGGACGAGGAAACGAGGAGACCAGGCTCGGCTGGCCGATCCCCTCCTGCCGCCTGCCTGCCCGCGCCCCCGGCTCCCCCCAACAATAAGACCTCAACCCAGACAGACAGACAGACAGCCCAGACCGCGGCAGGGGAGGCAGCCGGGCCCCGCGCAGCCAAGTAGGGTCGTGCATAAAGGAAATCGGGGGGAAGGGGGTCCCCCTTACCTCCAGCGCTTCAAAAGTGACAAAGCTGGTCATGGCAAATCCATCAATGATGTCCTCTTCGGCCGAGGTGGACTCTCGCCGCTTCCTCCGCGGGGGTCTGGGCCGGGACGGGGCGGTGGACGGGGGCTTCCCATTGTCTTCCTTGTCCGAGCCCGACGACGAG